CCAGCCATTGTATGCCGGCCGTGAAAGCCTTCGACAATACATCTACCTGAGACTTCATGACAAAAGCCAAAGGTACATCTTTTTCACTACCCTTCTCACTAATAGATTTACCCCCACTATGTATGATGTTCATCTTAGAGCTCTTTACCTTTTCTTGCTTGCAGTTCATTTTTCTTAAAAATCATTAAGTACCTTGGACTTTCAGGTATGAACGGCAGTAGAAACACTTGAACCAAGGGTGCAAACCCCGCAAGACCCATGAGTATAGGCCAACCTGCACCAGAACATTCAACAGCAACACAGAGTCAGCAAGGAAATGGTGGTGACAACTTGATCTACTACAAGCAAAAAAGGGACTTCTGTAAATTGAGAGGTTAGGGCTTGCATGGATTCATCATTTGCAAATACTGGAAAGCATTTATGCTTCTCCACTTCAATTTGCTGCCTTCTCCTTAGGGGCCAGCTATGCCCATGTGGAACTGGAGGAGAAATCATAACTGTCCATATTTGTTGGGGTATGTTGGTTTGTTTGTTTTTGGTAATAGGCAGCACAAAGAGAGGTCAGTTTTCCCTTTAAACACCACTTTTACTTGGATCACACTGTTCTTATTATTGAGTCGATGGGCCACTTTCAGAGCAAATAGTACTACTGAGAGCCACTGTGGTGTAATGGATAAAGTACCCAGCTAGAAGCAGGGTTATCCAGGTTCTAATCCACCCTTGGCCACAGAAGCTCACTTGGGAGCTTTCTGTGCTCAACCTATTCCACAAGATTATTCTGGGGAAAAAATGGGAGGAGGGAATGCTACGTAGGCCACCTTGAACTCCTGAATATAAAGTGGGATATCAGTCTAATACAATTCTACCACTACTGCTACCCAACAACAGCAGGCCATTAATTGGGGCCAGTTCCCATCCCACCCACCTCCAGCTCAACACTCAAGTGCAAAACAGTACCATTGTTCCTAAGATTGATGGTCCTCCTGTGCCTGCTGACCAAAGCAGCTTCTCTACAGAGCAATGTTTATAAGGCAGTCTGCTGAGAAAAATGTGAATAGTAGGAAACCTGAGACCAAGAAAGGGGGTACAGAGGAACTGCAGGAGTGGCAGCAGCAAGGATGATTCCAAGTTCCTCTTGGGGTCCCTGCTAAACTAATGCCAGTAAAATGGGGCATTGTTTGTTCTTTGGTACTTGTGATTTCATGTTCTTCTTCTGTATGTATTGATAGTATTAGATTTTATGGGTTTAATTACAAACTTTATTGATCTATGTTCACAACAAACCACTTATCTATTCATTTCTTCAAATCACCTTGCGAGTTTCCTAGGAGTTCTTTTACAGCAAGTATCTGAGCCAACAGGACACCAATAGTTAGATAGAAATGGGGTAGCAAAATAAGGCCTCCTCTGTGGTTCCTTGGGGCTATTTCACCCAGATATAAGGGAACAATACTAAAAATTAAACCTGGTTGGAAAAGAAAGCAAAGGATAATTCACAGCATGCAAGCTACATTGTGCACAGAAATGTATGAACAGATGCATGATATATAAAATGTCCACTGGCCAGACCTGGCAACTTCTCCTATCCCTAAGACATTCCTGGAAGGGCGCTACAAAATACTATTTAATCCTGTTCAATGTGCATGAGAAACAACCAATTCAAAATCTATTGGCACCCTGCATTGGACACAAAGTTATGGCATCTGCATTACTACTTGCTTTACATAAGGGAACTAGGTCTGCCCTAAAAAAGGATTGAAATTTCAGAAGTTGGATTTGGCTGAAAATTGGATTCTGTAAAAATTCTAAGAAAGCTATTGAAATACATAATGTATCACAACATTGTTGTAGTGGTTAGTAATCTTTCTCCCACAGGCAAGAACCTTGAAGGAGTTTTGTTGAAATCCATGGGGCCTGGGGAAAAAAAAAAGTCCTATTACATAATCCCTTCTGAAATGCTCACAACTGTTGCCTATGCACACATACACACACACACAAAAATATTGGTTGATGTTTTCAAATCACTAACCTGGAGGACCCTCAAAAATATTCATTTGGTAAGAGGCACAGGTTCATAAGGCATACCTTTGCTTGCAAATGTCATTCAATTCTGCTAAGATACTTTATTTATTGGCAACATCCTCTTTTTAAAATTCAAAAGTCTAATTCTGTGAGCCAGTTATTAATTTTATATACTAGCCAAAAAGAAGTAGAGAGGTTCAAATTTGAGGTCAAGTTGAATTGGTGACCCCACAAATCAATTCAAATGAAATTGGATTTCTAATTTAAAATTACAGAACTAGGTTGGTGTGGTGGTGAAGGCACCAGGCTAGAAACTAGGAGACTGTGATTTCTAATTCTGCCTTAGGCATGAAGCCAACTGGGTGACCTTGGGCCAGTCCCTCTCTCTCAGCCCTAGGAAGGAGACAAGGGCAAACCACTGCCAAAATCTTGCCAAGAAAACTGCAGGGACTTGTCTAGGCAGTCGCCAGGAGTCATCACTGACTTGAAGGCATCTCGCCCCCAAATAAATAAAATTATGGTTTCAGTATATTCCTAACTTTTAGCATATATTTATTTATTCCTGTCATATTCTGATAGGTAGATGCTTTGTGCCAGATTAGCGAATAAAAGAATGACAGCTTCATTCCTTCATTTTATTTATTTATTTATTTATTTATTTATTTATTTATTTATCCAGTGTATATCAGCACCGATATATGTATAGGCACCTCATTCATTCCCTCATCTTCCTCCTTTACATATACTTGCCTAATACTGAAGTCTGCTGGATAACAGCTTCCTAAAAGATATACTCCTGTTGCGATTGGGTTATGTCTAAGTGTATACTTAGTAATGTCCATTTGAGCATCACTTGCACTTCTTAGCATGGTCTCATGCCCAGAATAATGTACCATATAATGATCTGGTTTAAAGGAGCCCACTGTGGTCCATCAAAGTTCACTTATTTCTAAAAACATCTAGTTCAATACACTTAATTTCTGCTTTGATAATTTTAAGTTTTCCTTTCTTCATGTCTTTTTTTTCCTATGTTCTGATTGTCTGTGTCTTTGTAAAGTGAAGCACTTATCTTTCAGTACTTATATCGATGGACTAGATTTCCTTGTGGTCTTTGGTCTTACTATAGCATGACTTCCATATTTACCCATGGAAGGTTTACTCAATTAGGGGACTCCCTTCTGATGTGGCATCCCTGGGCACCCAAACTTGTCTAAATGGGACAATCATATCTGAACTTTTTTTCTTGGCAACATATAGAAATAAATTGCTATTGGCATCTTCTGGCCTCGATTTTGGAACTCCTTCCTCTTGATGGATTGGCTTCCTTCATACCTATAGGCCTACCTGCTCTCACTCCCCCCCCCCCAACATCATACATCTTCTGGCCTCGATTTTGGAACTCCTTCCTCTTGATGGATTGGCTTCCTTCATACCTATAGGCCTACCTGCTCTCACTCCCCCCCCCCCAACATCATACATAACTCAGTTTTTCTCCCCCTTTTTTGACCGTACTAGTAAGGATGTCACTAATAACAGCTAATGTTCCCACCAGCATCACTCTCAGCACCATCAGAACTACGTAGGCTTCTCACCATATCAAAGTTGCATGAGGCAACATTGTAATCCACCAATTTGCTACAGAGCAGATTAGAAATAATATAAGCAAACAAGTAAAAAAAAAAATCTTTTAAAGAATTAAATGACTATATCTAGGGATATGACCCACCTGCACATATCCCAATGAACAAACGAGCACAGGATTTCCTTGTAGTGTATTCTTTCATTTCCAGAGTCAGGTTTGGTTAAATGACTTCTGTGCTAGAGCATTTTCAAACTAAGCAGCTTCTCCTTGCTTATGTAGTTCCCTTGGCCCAAGGTCACCTTCAGAAGCCTTCTAGGAATCTTCAACAATTGAAGTCAACAAGATGGCCAAAAAAAGAGGACCTTCTACAGTTGTGGGTTACTAAAGGCCCTGGCCAAGGAGATACACTTGTTGCATAAATTAATATCTCTTTTGTGTGCCAGGAAAATACATCTGTCTTTTCCAAAGACAAATGTATTTCCATGGTTTTATCATCATTATTTTTACACTGAAATATTATTTTGTTTTGTTTTCTTGTAATATTTATTAATTGCATTGTATAGACTTGCTGCCTGGATAAATTCTATGTGGTCACTAAGAGTTAACACAAACTTGATGGCCTTGATGACAACCCAATCGTCTTGCTGTTTGTGTGTTTTGGGTTTTTAAAATTTCTTTTAAAAGTGATTTTAGATTTTTTTTTTTAAGTTCATGAGGCAGCATTGTAATCCACCAAACAATTTGCTACAGAGCAGATTAGAAATAATATAAGCAAACAAGTAAAAAAAAAAATCTTTCAAAGAATTAAATGATTAAATCTATGAATATGACCCACCTGCACATATCCCAGTGAACAAACGAGCAAAAAAGATGAATTCAATGGCATATATAAAATGGCTACAACTCATGAAGATGGCACTGATAAGGGCTGAAATATTAATTAGCACCAAAGAACATTTCCTGGGAAAAAAAATGAAAGGAGTAAGAATCTGGAGGGAAATCTTTGAATAAACAGTGAAGGGGTCCCCCCTCAGCAACATGAAACATTGAGTTTGGGCCTTGACTTTACTCAGTCCAACCTACATGTTTGTTCTTGTGAGGAAATGTTGGAGGTATGTGTACGGGGTACATGGTTTTGAGATCCTGAAAGAAAAGTGAGGTAAAAATCTAATGAATTTTTTAAAAAGGAAAAAAAAATGTGGAAGCCTGATTAGATGGAAGCCTGATGTTGAGAAACATATATCATAAAGGACAGAACCAGAAATGGTCTAAGAACAAATATTCAGATGATTCCTGAATTACCAAGAGGCGTTTATCAGCAGGATTACACAAGAAGAGTAAGTATTGAGGCTAGCAATTCTGTAAATGTAATAGTAAAGACTCTGGCATCTTTACACTGCAATGGGCAATCAATTGATGGGTGTACAACATTCGTGTCTGAAACAGAACTTAGAATCTAGCCAAGCTGTGCCTCTGTGTGTCTTCTGCCAAGCCGAGATGAGAAATGGAGCTAAGGATGAAGTGCCCGGAGAGCAATGATTTAGTGCGGAACTCAGAGGTGAAACTGACCAGAAGTAAGAGAGAAGGGATCAGAAGAAAAAAGTGATCAGAAAAGCTCTGTGCTCAACTGAACAGTGCAAGAGACAGGTGTGCTCTAACTGGTATACTTGATTGCACATTGCTAGTGATTGAATGAATGTTTCTTGCTAAGCAAGCAGACATCATAGAAGGAATATTAGGCAGGCAGCAAATCTACTGACTGAGTTTACAGAAGAGTCCAGATGAAGTTGAACAATTTTCGCCTCTGAGAAGATAGTACATATGTATACAGGTATTCCCCAGTTTCAGAACGAGTTTTGTTCCCAAAGTCTGTCCTTAAGTCGAATTTGTATGTAAGCTGGAACAGTATTATTGTGTAATACTGTATAAGTAGTACTGTGTAATTCTGAAACCATTGTGTATTTAACTCAAATAGGCTCCATTCTTAACTATGGGTTGCCTTTAGACCGGGCATTCTTTACCTGGGGAGTACCTGTATAGCTAACCTGTAGTACAGTGGTTTAAAGTGTTGAGTGTAGAATAGGAAGACCCAGATTCAGGTCAATTCTCAGCCAGGGAAACTCACTGGATGGCTTTGGACTGGTTATTCTGTCTCTCTTAGAGTTACTTTTTGTGGAAAATCAATTTAATGAGGGAGTATTATATATGCAGCCTTGACCTCCTGCAGGAAAGAAGGGACATAAATCTAACAAATAAGCATATAAGTGCATAAACTTCTATGAAACTGAAAGGGACAAAGGGGAATAATGGTATTTTTATGTATGCAATAATATAGCAAGTAATAAAAAATATTGATAATTTGTGCTATGCTGATGACACTACCCTGATAGCTGAAGATGTAAAGGATCTGCAAGCTCTATAATAAAAGTCAAGGAGCACTGTGAAAAAATGGGACTAAAATAAACATGAAGACGAACAAACTAATGACAACAGGTAGAACAATCAGCCATAGAACTGACAATGAAGATATCGAAGTGGCGGATAGCTTTTGCCTTTTAGGAACAACCATCAATAGTAAAGAAACAAGCAGTCAAGAAATACGCTGCAGACTAGCACTTGGTAAAGCAGCCATGAAGGCCTTGGAAAGATATTCAGATGCCGTGATGTGTCTATACCTACAAAGATACCTACCTACCTATACCTACCTATCATGCAAGCCATGGAATTCCCTGTGACACTCTGTGGAAGCGAAAGTTGGACTTTGAAGAAGCAGGATAGGAAGAGTATTGAAGCTTTTGAACTTTGGTGTTGGAGAAGACTCCTGAGAATACCATGGACAGCCAAGAAAGCAAACCAATGGATCATTGACCAAATCAACCCAAAGTCTTACTCAAGGCACAAATGACCAGGCTCAAATTATCCTACTTCAGACACATTATGTGAAAATCTAACTCTCTGGAGAAGGCTCTGGTGCTGGGA